CACACGGACAGAATATTGTATACATAATAAATAAATAAATAAAATCTTGACTTAAACATCTCTTCATCTCTGGTACTAGAAGACTGATTCCCTCCTGGTTTTCCAAGTATGTACCATATTGTCAACATGAAGTAGGAGAAACAACAAGGAAATCGTATGATTAATTATTCAAGCTTTTTAACTTATGATATAATTTTATAGGTTTGCCATTAGAGATATAAAAAAATTAATAGTTTCCCAAAGTCTCTATTTTTTATTAACAATATCTAAAATTCATAAGCTTTTTCTGTGAGTTACGTACCATACCTGTGTGGTACCGAAACATTAGCCCATCATTTGCCATGTGTCCTGAATTCTAACCATCGACTGGCCCTGTCCCAGGAGGTGGATCCAACAGTGGGTAACTTTTTCCCTGCCTGGTGGATAGACAAATAAACTATTTAGTTTATCAGATGTGACATATTTTGAGGGGGATAATTGTTGTTTTGTTTTTCAAAGGGCAGAGGTATAGGGAACATCACTTGGCGGCCTTACCTTGTATCTGGAGAGCAGCTATTCAGGTGTGGAACAGTGGTGCTAAACTCGATGGAAGGATGTTTGTGTAGAGTGTTCAGAGAACACTGAAGAGGCCAGTGAGGTGATGAGACATACCAAGCATGCAGCAAGGTTACAGGGAGGGAAAAATGTGACCCACTGTAAGACTTGATCTTTTACTGAGTGAGAAGAGACATTGTTACACGAGTTTAGATTGAGAAGTGGTCATGTTCTGAGTCACAAGCCAGAAAAACCACCTTGTATTGAAAATAGGCTACAGAGATAGCAGCCTCGAGGCCAATTATAAGGCTCTACTAATCACCCCTAGGTTATCCAGGTGGAGCTAGAAATGGATACGCCTGTAAAGCCCATCTACTTTAGTGGTAGGATTGCTATATATCTACATAAACGAGAGCCACTTTTAGTGTTTACTGTTCTGGAGGTTGGTTGTTCCATTTATCATCAAATACGAACCCTGCTAAGTTGCCAACTGGTTGCTGAGTACCTGTCTACCATTAGTTTCCAGTCCTTTGCTGGCTGTCCAGGCCACTTAAGACACAGATAGAACATTTCCCCTTTGGGTTTAGATGACCCTCCTCACTCTTTCACTCACTCTGCTTCAATGTACGGCTATTTAAATCTTCTAAGATGGCAGGCTTGTCCCTTGCCTTGGAACTTGGCAAAGAATAATCAGTCAGTCGGCACATTAAGATGCCTGATTTTTCCCATATTAGGGTTCCTGCCAGCAAATCAGTCTAAGCCGTCAGCAGTGACTCGTTCACTGTCTTGGTCCATATTACTTACACTGCTGAATATTTTGTTTGCGCAAACATATGTATGTCTGTGAGGGTTGAAGGAGTAGAGTGGGGGCGGAGTTGTTTGGTTTGTCTGTCTTCCCTCACGGGAATGTAAGCAGTCATTTTTGTGTTGCCCACTTCTCAGATACCAGATCTTAGGGCAATATCTGGCATGGATTCTGCAGTTACTATTTCTAGTGAACACTGGCCGTGCGCTCAGGACCCTGCCAGCCTCACGGGCGGAGTCATCCTCGGACTTGGGTTCTAGTCTACTTGTTCCCTGCCCCTTCCATTCCCAGTCAGATTTCTTTCACTGTTTTGTACTTAGGATAAACCCACTGCAGTCTCACGTCTGCCCGGTCCACTCAAAGGAAATTGCTTTCAGCAGTTTTCAGTTACCTACAATTTCCTGACTGCTAAGTCCGATGTATTTCATAGGCTTCATCTTGGGTCATACACATCACTAACTTTTCTCTTTTTCTTCCTGGTTTTATGAGATGGGCATCGTCTAGCCTGGAGCTTGCTGTGTAACTGAAGCTGGCCTTGAACTCCTGATCTTCCTGCCTCTACCTCCTGAGTACTGGGATTATACAGGTGTGTGCCACCATGCCCAAACCATGAATAGCTTTTTAACAACTTCTTCCTTTAAAAAGTTACCATATTTCTTTGGGTTTTGTTTTCTTTCTCTATGCTCATTAGCTACAGTTTAATTTCATATCAAAACAACCTTTTTTGAGATTAGGAAAAATATTTCTATATAATAATTTACTAACTTCCTGGTGCTCTCCTACCTAATAGAAAAGTCTAAACCACTGCAGTGACACTTGCCTACCTATGTATATCCCTGTTAAAATCTATTAGCTTTTTATAGAATAGTTGTGTTTTTCATATATCCTAGCTGATAATAGCTGAAGTCGTAAATTCCATTTTTTGTGCCACGGCCCTTTTCAGTAGCAAAGACTGTTGAGATTTTGTTTTCCTCAAATTTGATGATGACTTATTAGTTTGATTGGATTGATAGCAATTAGGAACTTAGTAAGTCACACCTGGGTGTGTGAAGGTAGCTTTTTGGCTCTGACCCATTGTAGAGTCAGAGTTGGAATAGACTGGGAGGTGGTGGGGCTGTAGAAGGGAGAGCATGTTTGGAGAAATGTTTGGAAGGGGTGTGTGTCTGGCTTCCTGTCTACTGTGCTGTGAGCTGCCCCCCACACCCTCCCTGCAGTGATGGACTACAGTCTCTCTGAGCCTGAACAACAAACAGCTTTCCTCCCTTATCTGTCAGCTGCTTGGTCACAGCCCCAGAAAGAGTAACTAGCAACCCTCTTTCCATTTTAAGACATAAGAGCTAAAGTAACGTTCTTAAAAATTTTTATCACCTGTGCACTATTTTTCTATATCAAAAGCTCCTCTCTTCCCTACCCTGCACCCCAAGCCACCTGATTGTAGTATTAGGTAAAATGATAGTAGGCAGACTAGCACTCTTTGAACACATTGTTCCCATTTAAAAGACCAACAACTAATTCTTCCTCCTAAACACTTCCCCTTTTATCCCCTTTTATCCTGTTCTTTCCTGCTCATGCTTCTCAAAATAGTAACATACATACACTCTCCCTTCAATTTAGATTCAGTTTAACACTTCTTATTATGAAATACAATGTGCATACTGAAAATGCATAAAATACATGTAGAATTTAATAAATTCCTTAGATAACTCACTTTTTCTCTGCACTCCCCTTCACTCCTCACCCCGCTCTGCCCTCCAGATTCCCCCAGGAAGACTCTTGTGAGTTGGTTGCACTTGTGATGGTGGTGTCTGTCCTGATGTTGCTAGGCTTCTGTTGTTTTAGGCAGTGTAGGTCAGACCTTTCTTGAAACTTCTTTAAAGCCCAGGCTTCTGTCCTCCTTTGTCTCCTAAGCCTTGACCCCTCCCATCTCTGTCCTGTTGATGAGCCTCTGTCTGCCCCTTCCATGTTGTTGTTTCCTAGGCTCCAGTATGAGCCAGCTGCCACCACACACTAAACTAAAAAGAAGAATTTCTAAGGCTTCTCTTACCTAAGAACTCTTTTAGAAAGGTTGAGGTTTTGGATTTTCCACTAACATGTATTAAACTCTCACAATTATTTATGTTGCAGACCAAACCTGGACCACCTAGAAGACCAAAGACCCCTTCTGGACAGTCAGCATTAGTGTATTGCTACAACTGTGCACAAGAAGGCCATTATGGACATGTAAGTTTGAATGACATTGGACATAAGGCGTTTTGTTGTCAAAGAGTAGTTGCTGAAAAATGAGCTCAAAATGAATAAAACGCCTAACACTTACTTGTTTATAAGCTAACCTTCAGTGGTGAGACTTGATGTCTTTTCAACTAATTTACACCCATCCAATTTCTACCAAGATTAAGTGTCAAAGCGTATTTCTGTAGTTCTTTTAAATATACTAGGGGCTGGAGAGATGGCTGAGAGGTTAAGAGCAGAGATCCTGAGTTCAATTCCCAGCAACCACATGGTGACTCAAACCATCTGTAGTGAGATCTTGTGCCCTCTTCTGGCCTACAAGTCTACATAATAAATAAATCTTTTTTAAAAATAAATAAACTAAAAACAAACTTAGCTCATGAAGGCAGTCCGACAAAGTCAGCTGCAGCACAGAAAGTTTTCCCTGTCATCTTTTATTGACTGTTAAAGACTGTTTATTGGGTTTTCAGTTTAGTTCTTGAGCTTTCCCTGATAACACATTCACTTAAGTCGTTGCCATGCAACCTCTTCCCCAGGTGCCTCAATTGCCTCCTGTCAATACTGCGCTGTCCAAACTGAAAAGTACAGGCTGCTAGAGGTGTGAGAGCAGAAGAAGCTCCCCACTGTAAGGTGGTGTCTCTAGCCTCATTAAACATGAAACAGCAGCAGCTCGTCCTGGAGCTAAGACCCAGTAGGAATAGGCTTTGCACCCCGACATTGTGAAACTGTAAGGTCAAAGAGGAGAAACAGTGGCACAGAAGTAGAAATCTTTGTGCATGGGGATTCCCATTCCCCCACAAAGCTCCTTCCAGCCTAGAAACCAAGGTAACATCATCAGCTCCCGTGTCAGGAAGAAGGCCTACAGAGGCCCAGGACTCCTCAGAGTAGGGCTAGAGAGACAGGTGGGAGAGTGGGCAGTATTGCAGACTACCTCTTACCTCCAACTCTGCCTCCTCTCTAGTCCAGACATTCATTGGGAGTACCGCAAATGCAAGGGCCTGGCAGTGGTGGCGCATGCCTTTTAAGCCCAGCACTCGAGGGGGGGGGGGGGGGTGCAGAGGCAGGCACATCTCTGTGAGTTTGAAGCCAGTCTGGTCTACAGAGTGAGTTCCAGGACTGGCTCCATAGCTATTGAGAAAACCTATCTTGAAAAACCAAATCAAAAACAAAACCAGAGAGTACCACAAATTCAAAGAGACAGAAGGGCTGGGAGAAGAAAAGTACTAGGCAGAGCCTGTGAACAATTGAGTTTATCTTCCATGTTTGTCAGCAGGAACTAGGGTGGGTAACGGGTAGAAGATGAAGCTGGAGTGAAGCTCAGGCGCTCAGTGGTGATTAATCTCCAAAGCACAAAAGTTGTACAGCACTGACATTCAGATGCTGCTTCTAATGTGATCAAACCCACCGATAGGCAGCAAGATCTGACAGTATACTGGACTTCACCTCTGTAGAATTCAGGTTGAAAACCTAACTAGAGAAGATTCTTTTAGGAAATTACCATCCCTCGGTCTTCTATTGCCCTGTGCACACCAACTGTTGCCAACAACTTTTAGGAAACAGACTCATATTCGCCATCCACTGCCGTGCACATCACACAGGTGTTTAATATATATGCTTGCTTATCTCTTTAAAGCAAAAGAGTGTGCTTTTAGTTAGCATTTGTGTTTGATCGATTAAAGAAAAACAGTTACAATTGGATGCTTCCTGCTTACTAGTCACTGCCTTTAATGTAGATGGGAATATCAAGAGCATTTGGAATTTATCCCTGAAATCTAGACTTAGACAAATTTCATTTTACAGTAAAACAAATTTGGCAGCCATAGTTGAAGGAACTCTAGATTATCCAACACTAATGAAGAAGATCATTGGTGTGGCTAATCCAGAAAGGAACATAAATTATATAGCCAGCTATCAATTATCTGTTTTAATAGAGGAGACCAGTGATGTGGATAATCAAAATATAATTTACATGTAGCTTTGGAAAACATTTGTGATACGATGTGGCTCTGTGTAGTTACATCCGTCTAGATAGAACAGTATCCAAATAGGAGGCCACCTCAGTGGTAAAAGATGTCCAAGCTCCCCTCGCTATCAGTCTCAGATTTAGCCCTCACTTCATATTACCCTTCCCTAATGCTAGGCATTCTAGCTAGAGAGGCAAGGGCAGCAGTAGGCCCTGAGAAAAAGGCTATTCCAGGAGGTTGTGAAAAGGTGAGGGGCTGGGAGAATTTAAACAGTCTCTTTGTGCATGGGTACTGACTGAGTGTATCAAGATTACTTTGATACTTTTATTGATTTTATGGTGAGTTGGCAAAATTCCATGTGGGTTTAAGGCATTCTGACTTTCTTAGCTACTTAGCTAAAAAATGCTAACATTTGCAAATAAACTTCAGGCAAGATGGTAGAAGGCAGAGGAGAAGGCCCCAAAGAAAAGCCTCTCTGAAAAAGGTGTTCATGTCTCCTGCTGTCACCTAGTAGACAGAGAATAGTTAAAGCTGAGAGACAGAGACTGGGCAGTAGACAAGGGAGAGCAGGCAGAGGACGATCTCAGCGTGGTTGAGGGAGCAAAGAAAAGAGGCTTCTCAAAATTACCCAGGTCTGCCACCCACCTCACAAAAGACCCCTTAGCCCAGAGACAAAGGGGACTGATGAGAAGCCGTAGAGGGGAAGAGCAGGAGGATAGGGGAACGCGGCAGAAGGGAACAGAGAATATGCTCAGGATACAATATACACCCATAAGAAATTGTTAGTTAAAGAAAAAGATTCACTGCCCTAGTAACTAGTGAATGGTAAGATAAGCTGGCAAGTGTGTCCAGAGAATGAGCAGAGCCAACAGTTTAGAGCCACAGCTTGAGGCTAGGCTAGGAGGAAAAGGAAGGACAGTCTGATGGAAGGCTACTGAAGGAAAAGACAAGAAAGGACAGTTAATCCACATAATACCAGTGAACTCCAGCAGAGGACAAGGCAAATGGAGTTGGCACCCAATTTCAGTGCTATTAACTCAAACTGGGGAAGGAGCTTAGGAAGTACAAAAACATAAAAGATTACTTAGTCAAGAAGGGAAGAGATCCAGGCCCCAAGGGATGGCACAGCAGCACGGGAGAGCGGTTGGTCAGGTGGTGCTAGGGGTCGGGACTAATCAACAGTGCTGACCAGCACAGCCAAAGCTCATGGAAGAGTTTGTTGAGCAGTGCAGCCTTGTGATGCATTCTTTCAAATACAACTGTAGGAATGTACAGAAAGAAGAATGTTTAGCCAGACGTTTCCAACATCTCCGTTCATCTACTACTATGACGACAAACACGAGATCCAGCAGAGAGATCGGAGAATAAAACGGAAAGTGAAAGGTTTGTCACCAAACTCTGGTTAGACCTCTTTTGCACTAGCTCCCAAATTTATTCTTTTTTATAAAATGTCTTTGCCTATTTTGGAAGTCGTTGTTTAGCACAAAAAACATTTTTAGTAATTATAAAAACTAAAAGAAGCTTTTTATATTATCTTTATCATTTATTTTATAATATTATTTTATAATGATAAATTCACATCTCACTTTAGCCTCAACTATCACTCTCTGCTGTCACAAACTATTGGAAGCTCTAGTTTGTAACTACTTCTACTTCAGACTTCTACATCAAAAATCCTATTTTGTAATCTGTTCACAATATTTTTCTCAGAGCATTTCAGAAAATTCTTAAGAATATTTTTATCTTTCTATGCAGAGAGTTTAAGATTACTTTGAAATGTTTCTACTTGACAAATAATTATTTTCCCTTTGTCTAATATTTTTCATGGAACAGAAGGGTTTCTGGTGACTCCTGGGCCTCCCACACAAAGGCTAGTGTTGCAGTTTGCCATTGCAGCAGGTTCTAGGCCCACAGCCACCTCTGTGTTTCCTTTGCCTCAGTGGTTAAGAGCATGGCTGCTCCTCCAGAGGACCTGAGTTGAAGTCCCTGCACCCACTTGGTGGCTCACAACTATCTGTGACTTCAGCCAGACCCACATGCAGTCATGAACAACTACACATAATTAGCCTACAATAATATTCACATTTGTAAATCTTGTTTAAATCTGTTTTCTCTGCCTCTGTTCTTTGTTGCTATAGTCAGGATGTGTTCCCAGGTTGCCTTGCTGTCGGGTAATAAACAATTGTGTTTTTCAATCTGGTCTCTGAATTCTTGTCCAACACTGAGCATTTTTAGCTTTTTTCTTTGTGGCTTTAGATTCTCTTGAGTTCAGACCCTTTCAAAATGATGATACTACTCATTTGCATAGAGAAATCACAGCATATTAAGAGATTGACTAGGTTACTAAACTAGAAAGATTACCAAGAAAAACATAGTGCTAGCAGCTCTGAATTAAAGGGTGTATTACTACACTCTGGCATATTTTCTTTATAATTTATGTGTTTATTTTTTTTATGTTTTCTACAGTGAGCATTTATAAATTATATAAATTTTATATAATTTTATAGAGAACTTTTTTTTTTTCTTTTTAGGTAGTTTTGACCACTCTGGTGCATACCCACTTTGAGGCTCACTGTGATCCTTGGAACTTCTTCTTTTATCTTAAACTTTTAGGCCAAAGGTTTTTACTGACCTCTGTGTAATGGTCCAAGGTTCTGGAGTTTTCACAGCTCACTTTAGCCTCAGCTACCACTCTGTGCTGTCAAAAGCACATCCATCTGATGCTCATAATAAATACATCCGGTCCTCACAAGATGCAGCATCATCTGGCACAGAAACCTCTACGGTGTGTGCACAGATCTCTCTCTCTCTCTCACACACACACACACACACACACACACCCAGCAGCCACTTCTCTGGAGGGATAATGTCTTGGCAGTGTGCACTCACTCACAGTGGGATGGCCAGGCTTGTCCTCCAAGAGTAGGGTCACATGAGATCATCTTTATCTCGCTTCACCTTATCCTTCATCAGTGGAGGAATCTGCACTGGTTAGACGTGACTTCTTTCACGGGACAAGATAGTAACCATGCCTGCTGCTCTAGTCTTCAGTGTTTAACGTTATAAAAGTTTGTTGAGTAGAATAAGTAACATAAATACTAAAGGGTTTGGGGATCTTTTCCCATTTTAGCAATAGAATTGTAAGGGCTCTTTAGAGTGCCATATTGGTCAAATTTTTAAATGTCTGCCTCTTCTGTCTGCTAAGTTATTTCTGAGAAGCAAAATACTTTTATATCTTCCAGAAATCCAGAAAAATGGAGATTTTCCGGGGCAGTTCAGAAGACCATATGTAGAAGAGACAGATAAGGGGGGCCATCACAGTGTGAGAAAAAGCTATTCCTCAAAGAAAAGCAGCAAGTGGCCTCAAAAACATAAAAAAAACCACAAAGAAATGACCAGGAAAAGAGAAGGTGAGAGGCATAGGTGGACTCACCGGCATGGCGACGTGGACGAAGACTTCCCTAGGGGCTCAAAACCCCACTCCTCTAGCAGTGCTGCAACCCGAAAGCTATCCAGGTCCCATCGCCACAGACTGAGAGAAGAGAAGGTTCTCAGAGAGAGCAAGCACAGCAAGCCAAAGAGAGGGAGATGCACGGAAGAGGACAGCAGTGATAATTTATTTCTCATTAAGCAAAGGAAGAGGAAAACGAATCTATGAAATGGTTTCTGAACAACTTCACATTCAGCTTTTCTGGCAGCATACTGTTATCTGTTGTTATGTGAAGGGGGCTTTGTCATGATTGCTTAATATGTCAGCCATACCTAGCGCTGCTGAGTGGAAGCCATGGAAGGTCACGGCTGTTTATTAGATAGGAAAGTAAACTTGGGTTTCAGTTCCTCTAGCAATTTCACTTGAGGTAGGAAAACTGTCTTTTTAAGAAAATCTTTTTTACATGCTTTGAAAAAAATTACAAGCTCTTCAGATATAATTCATCTATAAGGTTTGAGGACTTAAAAGTTCATTGGAAGAGAGATTAGTGCGAATAAGAAAAATCACTACTACCTTCTTAGCTTTGTTGTTTGTTTTTTTAAACACTGGAAAATCAATGAAAATCCAAATCTACCTTTGCTTGCTTCAGAAGCTGTTGGACTCCTTTGTCCAAACAGAATATCCAGGACTGGCTGTGAAAATGAAGATATCACTGTTGAACCTTGGAAGAGGCAGAGGAGAGGCAATAGCAAGAGTTATATACAGTGTCTGCAGTGTGGGTGTGCAGCACAGATTTCCTGAGAAACGTGAGAACTTTAGCATAATCACACTTGGACTGTTTTTTTCCAGTTTACAGCCATAGTGCAAGAAATAGAGATAATATTACCCAAAGAAATAGAGATAATATTTCCCAACTTGATTTGTTTTCATAGATCTTTTTAAATACCGCAAAGCTATTTGGAATCTTTTGTATTTGTGAACCTTTTTTACACTTGTGAAAGCCCAGTGTTAGAACAAGAAAAATAAAATGCCTGAAACAATGAGGAAATGTGTTTGCTGTTGCAGAGGACAAGGACAACTTGAGTGGCAGAGCATAGTTGGTCTGGACAGGTCACTGCAGTCACAGAACCCACCGTAACCTGGAGTCAGAAACGCCTTTGTCTGGAATAGAGAGGTGGGGTTCAGCAGTTTGGTTCTCAGCCCAGGCTAGCAGCTCCAAGGGACCCAGCACCTCTGGCCTCCATCCGCACCCACATGTGCAAACCCACACCCAGAAATGCACACTTGCACCTGCTGCTCTTGAAAGTGAGGCAAGATCACTTCCCAGCACTCACATGTGGGCTCCCAGGGGGTCTGATGCCCTCTCCTCGGCTCTGAGAACACCAGGCACACACATGATGCACGTGCATTCGGGCAAACATTTGTGCACATACAATAATAAGATGTTTAAAAGTGATAAACAATACAAATCAGGTATTGGGAAGAAATAAATATAAAACTGTGGTGTAGGAACGAAGGAAGTCAGTTAAGGAAGAAGGAAGACTTGTGGGACCTGGATAAGGCCACTGGAATCCAGACATGGTGGTGTGTGACTGTAGTCCTTGAGCCTAAAGCAGGAGGGATTCTGAATTGGAGGCCAACCTAGGCTACACAGCCAGGTGCTGTCCAAGAAGGAGGTTACTAGCTTATAGGTGCCATTGCCAGGATACAAGTACAGCCCAGATCCAAGCCTTACAGTAGATCTCACCATTTTAAAGAAGCAACCAGTGGTTGGAGGATGTGGTTTACAAAGCTGCAGAGTCCTGGCATAAAGCTGGGTAGAGTGTGACACTCTCCTCTTCCTGGAGAGAACAGTGCTCCACACGCCCGCATGATGGCAAGCAATGCTTTTTTCAACATCATTTGTTTTTATTGTATGCACATTGTTTTGCTGCATGTCTGTGAAGGTGCCAGATTCCCTGAAACTGGAGTTAGAGACAGGTGTGAGCTGCCATATAGGTGCTGGGAATTGAACCCAGGTCCTCTGGAAGAGCAGCCAGTGCTCTTAACCGCTGAGCCATCTCTCCAGCCCGTAAACGGCTTTTAAAAGCGATTGAGCAGACATTTCCAAGAAAACATAGTAAGAAGTAAGAGTGAGGAGGGGAATAAGAAGGAAAATGTCAGCTGGGTAGTGGTGGCGCACGCCTTTAATCCCGCCAGAGGCAGGCGGATCTCTGAGTTTGAGGCCAGCCTTGTCTACAGAGTCAGTTCCAGGACAGCCAGAACTAGGACTACACAAAGAAACTCTATCTTGGGACAAAAGTAAAAAGGGAAATGTCTCTGGGTTGAGAGCCAGAGTTCAGCCAAGCCAAAGTAGTTGAAGGTCACTTACCAGAGGAGAGTTGCAGAGCCAACCTCAGAGACCACAGAAGGAGGAATTGGGGAGGGGGGGGGTGGTAATGGCCCATCTGAAGCAGTAGAAGAAACTGGAGTTCTCAATGCCAAAAGGAGCTCCTTTTCCCAGCAGGGTGGGAATCATGGGCTGTGTCTACAACACTCAGCAGAACTCTGCCTCAATAATGAGGGAAAAGAAGCTCAGGTCTAGATTATTCTGGTTCCTGTTTAAAAGCAAGACCTGAGCTGGGTGGTGGTGGTGCACGCCTTTAATCCCAGCACTGGTCTACAAGAGCTAGTTCCAGGACAGGCACCACTACAGAGAAACCCAGTCTCGAAAATTGAAGAAAAAAAAAAAAAAAAGCAAGACCTGAAAGGCTTGGGGATGTAGCTGAGTTGGTAGAACACTTGCCTAGCATCCCTGGCTTCAATCCCCAGCATGGACACAAACTCAAAAAGGAGGGTGGGAGGCAGCTATTTGTTGAGTGCTGTGGTTAGAAAGGCAGAGTTGGCAGCTACCAGCACCACTGTTCTTCCACTGCTGCGATGAAACACCATGACCATCATTCGGCTTACACTTTCACAGCACTGTTCCTCATCAAAGGAAGTCAGGACACAAACCTGGAGGCAGGAGCCACTGCAGAGGCCATGGAGGGGTGCTGCTTACTGGCTTGCTCCTCATGGCATGTTCAGCTTGCTTTCTTACAGAACCCAGGACCACCAGCCCAGGGATGGCACCACCACAGTGGGCTGGGCCCTCCCACTTCATCACTAAATGAATGCCCTATAGTCTTGCCTACAACGCAGTCTTATGGAAGCCTTTTCTCCTGAGACTCCCTCCTTGCAGATAACTCTGTCAAGTTGACATAAGACTCGCCAGCGCAACCAGTTAGTAATAGCATAACTCAAATGGAAGATGACTGAAAATGTTAATTACAGTAGCAGGGGGCCAGGGAAGGTTAGTAGAGGCAGGAGAAAGTATTTTAAACTCTGTGTGTGTGCTTTATGGAAGCTCCACAAGTACATAAGTAGATCAAAACCCAAAGTAAAAAAAAAAAAAAACTTTCACAGAGTTAGTCTATCCACCGGAAACATTTTAATGTTTTGTTTTCACTTAATTGGGGATTATCTGGAAAATCTGGGTGAGGTCAAGGTTCATTCAGTAGTACATGCGTCATTTTTGCTTTTGCTCTGTTTGTGTGGAGTCAGAGGGAAACCAGGATCACACATTTGGCACCCACCATTGACATGGAGAGCTGCTCACTGACCCCAGGCCTCAGCAGCAGGCTCGTTCCACAGACCACCCTCCCACCCCGCTCCTGAATCATTTGTGTGCTGGTAGATCCCAATCTCACAAAACGGCAGTGCCGTGGATGTCTGAAGTGAACACTGACCTAATGACAGCGCTCCTCACAAGACTTGTAAAATGGGCTTTGTTTGCCAAGAAAAGCCGTGACTTTCTTCTTTGCCCTACAACTCCCAGTGTCAAAAAAGGACCTTTAGTTCCCTATTAAGTCAAGCCTCCAACAGATGAAAGAAAGCCCTTGCTGGTTCCCAGGCTGGGCCAGCTAACATGCCTTCCTCGCACCTCAACGAAACCCCTTATAACGGGCAGGACTCTCCCAGCCATTTTGCTGTCTTCTCTGAACCTAGGGAGACAGCCTTGGCAGTTTAAATAAACTTTTCCTTTTACCCAAGGGGCAGTCTTGTTTGGTGGTGTCACTGCACCCTAGCTAACACACAAATGGGGGGGAAACTGCCAAATAAGACCAGCAGGTCTTATCGCCAGAGCATCAGAGAACCCCCCCCCCCAAAAAAAAAACATAAAATTTATGTCATTACCCAGGCACCAAGTAGAATGTTCCTCATTGGGCTTCTCTGGAACCAAGGACCTTTAGCTAACTCGAATATCTGTGACAGGGCAAGAGTTCAGAGGTTCCTCCAGCCTGTAGTCTTGCTGAAGCCATTTTAGGTTTAACTAGACTTTGATGTTCTTGATAGAGAATCCATGGAAAAATACCCAATTCTATTCTAGGAACCTGAGGACTAGATGCCCCAACTAACTTAAGCTTCTGTTAAACTGCCTGCTTGGCAGTGGTGGCGCATGCCTTTAATCCCAGCACTAGGGAGCCAGAGGTTGGCAGATCTCTGTGAATTCAAGGCTAGCCTGGTCTACAAAGGGAGTTCCAGGACAGCCAGGGCTGTTACACAGAGAAATCCTGTCTCAGGGAGTAGGGGGAACCGCTTGTACAAACCTTTCCATCCAGCTACCACCTACCTTAGCTTCTGTTAAACTGCTTGCTTGTCCAAAACCTCCCCCCAGGTTAATTTTTTTTTCTTTTATAAACTGCCTTACCCTAAGCACTCAGGACTATGCTTGGGTCCCAAATTCCCGAGTTTAGTCCCAGCCAGCTGAAATAATGACTTTCAATTGGCTACAAACTGAGTGGTCATCTCTGGTGGGTTCTTCAGAACATGACTAACACTGAAGAACTTTCTCCTACTGGCTTGCAAAAGTTGCAAATCTCATTAAATTCTGCAAACCTGAATAGAATATCTGCTGAGGGCCAGGCACTACACTGAACTCACTACAGTGAAGTCACAGGGGCTGTAGCATGCTCTACAGTGTAGCCTCACTACCGTGAGGACCCAAATGTGTCCTACCACCAGGGGCTGTAGCATGCGCTACAGTGTAGCTTCACTACCGTGAGGACCCAGATGTATCTGTACCACCAGGGGGAGTAGCATGCTCTACAGTGTAGCTTTACTACCGTGAGGACCCAGATATGTCTGTACCACCAGGGGGTGTAGCATGCGCTACAGTGTAGCTTCACTACTGTGAGGACCCAAATGTGCCCTACCACCAGGGGCTGTAGCTTGTGCAGGAGGTTCACTACAAAGTCCAGTGCGTCAAAGAACAGCATTCTAGATGTGGGGAACAGGTTGAAACATGTTCCTAAGCTGCAGAGACAAAGCCACCTCAGTTCTTAGCCCTGCTCACTGGGCCCAGCAGGGGCTGACACAGCTAACCTCCAGTAAAAGAATGTAACTGGCTGGCCCCACCCTGTTCTGACATCACCAAAATGGGGAAACCTAACATGGCGGCGGGGTAGGGAGCGGGTTATTCTTACAAATGGAACAGTTTGTATGGGCCTTTCAGAGAGAAGGCTGAAGAGTGAAGACACACTCAGGAAGGCGGGTGAGGAAATAAGGGTGTGCCCACCTATATATAAGGGTGTGCCAGAGTGAGGACAGAGCACCATGTGACGCTTTTCACACGCCACATCCCTGGCCTTGCATGCACGGCTCTAGAGGGCAGGAGCCTGGCCTTGCACACTCGAGGTCCCCGAGAGGAAGGGAAAGAGAGGACAGAAGACTTGTTCTCCAACCAAAATCCATTGCTTGTCAAAGAAGCCCTGTGTTTCAGTGCCGTCTGTCGTGACCCACCATGCTGGGTCCCTGCCCTCAGAGAGCTTTTGTTTTTAAGGCTTTAAAATCAGATGGGGCCCAGATTACCAGGATTCATCTGAAATCAAATCTCACAACACCTTCCCAGCAACCTCAGGATCCTTTTAGCTGAACAATCATCACTTAGCCACAGTGACATGTAAATTTAGAGGAGCATTCAATTGTCATCCTCTCCACGTCAGGGGACTGTGGAGAAG